TTATATATGAGAATACTTTATTTATCCTCGAGGGAAATTACAGTTATTACAGCTGTAACCATTCAGATCGAGAAATGTGAAAGGAAAGAAATAAGCACACTAGTATAAAATAAGTATAAACACCCAGGATTACAAAATAAGCACACTTATGTACACATGGTAAACGGTACTGAACTTATCGAGCGCTTTTCAAGTCCCTCTGGACCCCAAAGAGCTTTACACTAACAGACATTCACCCACTCACACTCACATTCACACACTGATGATGGCAAACTACACTGTAGCCACAGCTGCCCTGGGGCACACTGACAGAGGTGGGGCTGCCATGCACCAGTGCCACCGGACCCTCTGACCACCATCAGTAAACATAAACAATGTACAATAAAAATGTTAAGAAAATGTGTACATAGCTGATGTTTGGTACTGTATATTGCACATGTTTGGTGTGTTTTTTTAAAATTACTTATTGGCGATTTTAGGCAAAGTGGCATTTTTCCCGTTATGGATGGTCAGTTTGATTTTCGGATATTTTTGAAACATTCCAGTTAAGAGGTTTGTAAGGCTCGCCACACACACCCATTTTTAGTCAAGTTGGCTGTGGTGTCTTTGTTTTCATCAAAAAATACATTTATAATGGTTTTCAAGACTTTGATTTTTCTCTTAAGGAACACTAAAAGACAGTAAGATGACTGGGACTTTATAGGAGCATTTGAAATGATTCAGACATAGTTAACCCAATGTGGAAAGGTTTTTAGGACTTGTCAGGATCGAGCATGTTTATTGACAACACATAAATCTTCAAATGGTTAAGATTTACTGCAGGGAGTAACAATTTCCATAACTCTTCTGTTGTTTTGTTTAAAGCCCACATCTTCGTATTCATCTGACAATGACAGCAGCTGCTCTGCCTCTGCTCCCGATGCGTTCCCTCTGGAAAACTCCACCAACTTCTTGGCCCCTCACACCCCTGGCACCATCATCCCCAACCGGATTTTTGTCGGGGGCATTGACTTCAAGGTGAGTTTTGCTGTTTGTTTAGATCTTTGATACAGAAGGACAGGAACCAGAAAGCCAGTGAGAGTGTAAGGTGGGAATTTGTTCCCAATCAGTTACCAGCAAGCTGAGTTAGTAATTAGAAATCTGTATCCTTTTAAGGTTAATGAGAGCGACCTGAGACATATCTTCTCACAGTATGGTGCAGTGAAGGAGGCGAAGGTTGTCTTGAATCGCTCAGGAGCGTCAAAAGGGTGAGTTTTTAATTTTTTTTACATCCTTTCACAGATCTAGTCGCACAAATATTTCATTATTTATCTTCTGTCTGTTTAAACAGATATGGGTTTGTTACGTTCGAAACTCAAGAAGATGTCCTGAAAATCCTCAGCAACGTTAGTTTTATATACAAAAAACCTTAAACACAAATTATCTGTCCAGATTTTACTGCCTTATATGACGTTCTGTTTTTATCTACTTTATCAAAAGGCTAACGGGTTTTGTTTCAAAGAGAAGAAACTCTTCATTGGCCAAGCTGTGAAAAAGCAGAAACCATCAGGACAAGGTAAGTTAACAGTTGGGTGGAAACGATCTTCTGGAGAGAAATGTTTTTTTTAACGATGTCCCATTTCATGCATGTCACGAGCAGGAAACACGTCCCGTGGAAATAACATCACAATCCACCATCAGTTTCCTCTCTCTCTCGAGCTAAAAATAAAACAAAAAACAAACATAATAAATTTCTGTTGTTAGTTTTTAAAACAGCTGATGTATATATA